ATTTGTAATTTCCTTCCTAAGAGATAGTAAGATCGAATATCTTTTAAATGAATTCTAAATAGATAGAATAAATTCTGGCCTTTATAAATCTTAGAAATAGAATTATAGAATTGGTTGTTGACTGAATTATAAGTTAATTCAATGAACTGTGTGACTATGTGTTTCTGATTTTGACTATTGCAACGGAGTCGAGAGTGAGGTTAGGTACAGTATAAGTACGATATAGCGAGGTCGTAAAATCAGTCGAGAGTTAAAGTAAACATGTTTCACAACGAGATATATGAGTTTCAGAATTGTATAGATATATGAGTAGATAAGAACTTGAAATCTTAGCTAGTAGGATGAAGTTTATTTTACAAATTATAAACATTCTATTTTTACAAAAAAAAAGACTTGCAAGATAGGTTAAAACAGAACAATGATTTTTATATAAGATAATTCAAGCTTTCTTTACTATTTATAAAATGAATAAATAATTACATTATGCGAATATTTCAAATGCACATATACAAAATTTATCAAACACAATGAAAGACTATAGGAAGTAAAACACGAATACGTTTTTATTAGAAAAAAAATAAGAATGTGTAAATGCTGGAAGATTTTTAAAGCACGTTTCTTATGTATCTTGATACGTTAACGCCAAAATCTCATAATTATTCCACGATCATTTTTCTCCATGAGAAATTAATTAAATTTCTTTATGATTATCTTTATGAACAAGAAAAGAAATCCTTAGAAAGAGAAAATGGTTGTTGACGGAAATTAAATAAAAATTCCTCGTATTCAAAATTATGCAACATTTATAAACGTCTATCAGCGTCTTTCACCTTTCGAGTTGGCAATATTGAATTAACGAGAAACGAACGGGAGGGCGATTAAAAAATATGGGGTCCGTGAGGGAAAGATAGAAGAACGGAAGCGGAAAAAAAGAGCGGATAGGAAGAAGAGGATGGTACAGGATAGCGAGAGAACCAAGTCTGAGCGATTTTCATACAAAATCCCGAGCCGCCGGTAATCATAGCAAAATTAAGATCATCCATCACCCACGGGATCCCATTCTATTCCGTTACCTCACTTAATAGTATTCTGCTGAGCGATGTAATTTCATTCTACGCGGTGCTCGTTCGTGCACGCCTATGCAATGCGAAGAGTTGCGGAAAAAGATCGACGCTGGAGACGCCTTCGTCTCGTCGAAGTGTATGCATAGTGAGGCAAAGGGCGCGAGGAGGGTAAATATTTGAATATATCGTTCGAGTGGTCGTCTTTTCTGAAAAGGATGGAAATTCTTTTGAACTACGCTCGTATGCGCGCACGCGTTGAAATTCGAAGAAGAGCAAAAAAGATCCGTGTTTGACGTTGAGAGACGTGTTGGAAGTTGCACTTGGAAAATTAGAGATATTGACGTACGATTTTTCGATGGATGCGTTCCTTTTTTTGATGGAATGGTTCTTCTAAAGAAAAAAAAAAAGAGGACATATTAGTAATTGATAGAAAATGCATCAAATATATCGAATAGATAAAGTAATATTTTTTTCTTTTCGAAAAACTCATTCTACGTGTATCATCAACTGCACGTAGTACATGTCGATGCTCGGCCGGGCACTAAGTAGCTAACTCCCCTGTGCGATCAGACGGCCAGCAAACAGCTTTTACTTTCGGTTTTACGTCCGTAATTTAGCAACTATCAGTTGATGGAGTTTACGAAGTTTTACGAGCGTTGTAAAATAGCGTTCCACATCGGATCGTTCTAACGTAACTCGTCTCCATTTTCCAAAAAGTTGACTCGAAACGCTTTACTTTCGTCGATGATCCCGCCGCGGATTGTCATAAATTCTGTGAAACGCGCCGATATTGTCGGCAAAGTATTAACGAGGTGGTAACCGTATCTAACGTGAGAAATATCCCAACGGATGGGATAGGCAAGGGGAACGTCGGTTTCGCAATTTTTCCAAGAGCCATTGCAATTTCTCAAACGGCAACGTTCGAGGAACAGGTAAAAGGGGAACATGCGCGAGCGTAACGATATTTCTCGCTTCAAGCCGTGGCTCGCTTTCGTTAACGGGCAAACTTGGAGCTTTTATATTTTTTACAAGTTCCATTTTCGCGGCGCTTTTAGTTAAAGGAGGACACGGCCGGTGATAAATCGTTCAAGTTTGAAAAATAAAGCGGGGCCGCTCGTGAAAGAAGGAAGACGGTAATGAACAGTCCCAGTGAATGCTGAATGCTCGCAGTTTCCACCAGTGGTGGAAAACTTCACCGACAGCTCCCGCAAAATGCGCCTCGTTTTATAACCGTTTATTAAACGAACGTCCACTTCATCCATCGCCGCGTGGACGTGAATCGCGCGAGGAAAAAGTTCGAAATTATTCCCAGGATAAGGAGGTGTCCCCAGATTTTCCAAAGGATGGACGAGTATCGACAGGTTAAGTGGTAATCTGTTTGCCGCGATACATCGAGGCCTTACGGCGGTGAACGTCAGATTTAAATTATCTATGAGGGAGAGGCGCGAAAGGCGGTATCGAAAAGCCATAATGCGAATTCCATTCCCCTCGGGCTTATCGAGTTTATCCGGAATTATTGCCGTTACTACAATACGCCAACGATTATTTTTACTTTTTCCCCCCGTTCTCTCGCCCTTTCCTTCGAACCTGTGTATGTGTGTGTGTGTGTGTGTGTGTGTGCCCGTTCATTGTTAGTCAACGCGATTTCTCTTCCCCTCGGAAACTACTTCGTGGAGCGTATGAATTCTCGAACGAGTTACAAGCAACGTGGAAAACGCCGTGGGAAAAATCAAGTATACGGAATTCGAGACTTTTAGCAAATAAACTTCTTTACGTAACAGCTTTCGAAGTAATTCAGGAACAGAAAACGCCGTACCGGCGTGCTGAAAATTAAAGAAACGTTCGATTAGAAAAATTAAATGTCGAAGTGAAAGTGAAATATTCTATCAAATATTTCCATTTTTCAAAAAAAAAAAAATAGTAATAATAATATCGCTCATCTCGTCTCTGTAGATAGATCATGAAAGCAATTTTACGAATATCGAAAAAATTGTATCCCCTATTTATTGTGTTAACGTCGTCGAGTTTGATAAACGAAAACGGTTTCGCAACTCTCACGAGCCGTTTCCGGATGCTTCAAGCTTCTGCTGGATGTCGAAGGGGATAGAAAAGAACGAACGAGAGGGGATAGGTCTCGTCGTAAAATTGTAAGAACTTTCGCGAAGGTTGTCGAGGGCCTCTTGCGAGCTCGAACTTTCGTCGCCATTCTGGCCGAGCGAGGGCGGGGAAGAACGCTTTCGGAAACGATAATTTTTCTTTCGAGACTGTCCGGCCGGGTCGCGTTGCTCCATCCACACACGTCGAGAGGAGTTTAAGTGTGGCGGCGATGGCCCATGTAAGAGCGGAAGTATGACAAATTGAAACGACCATCGACACGACCGATCTCCAATCATATCGGTCACTGGAAACCTTCCCTCGATTCCTCTTCTCATGATCGCCTCCGTATCCGTACATTGGCTTTAAAGGAGAATTGCTTTTGCGCATTCAATTGATGATCTTTTGAATTGAGACGAGTTATCCGCGTGAGGAAGTTATCGATTAGGATAATCATAATTTTCTTTTATTTACATTTAATCTGTGATAACGCGAGATTAGAATATATCTGTTTGCTATTTTTCGTCTAAAATCGATTCGATAAAGTTGAAATAAACAGCCACGATATATCAAATTGCTACGATATCCAAGATTACAACGGGATGGATGAAAGTAATATTATCGAGTAACTTTGTGTTCTGTTCTACTTTGAAATTGAAATATTGTAAACAGATTACAAACAATAATTCAATGAACAAAATGAAGAAACTTTTCGCTAATGTAAATGACGGCATCAACGTCCCACTAATTTTATACACTTTGGTTAATTTGATGTAAGTGGCCGGAATAATGAAGCTTGAAAAACAAGCATCACGCGTCGTTGACCGCTTTTTCCCGTCAAGTGACACGTGTAACGAGAAATGGATTGTTTCTCGCATGAAAAGAGCCCGATACAACGGATATCGCGAAACAAGATTTATCGCAATAACAATTTTCAGCCTGGTAAAATGCATTTCAAGTTGTATGCTCGCGCACGCGTACGTATCATCGTGCACCATGTTAATTTAATTAAAAGCACAACGAAATAAAAGAACAACGAGAGCGATGAGTATGTCCAAAGTGATTAAAAAGTATTTTTGATTAATGCTGAAAGGTTGAATCAATGCGAATGTCCGCGAGCGTCGTCCCCTTCGATTTTATATTATTTATTACACGCAGTTGTTGATGTAATCGCGTTGAATAAATATTTTTTCACGATTCGAATTTTTCTCGAGTCATAATGGAACATACTTTTCTTTTATCGTTTGAAACGCAGATCGTTGAATTCGACAAATTATCCAACAGTTACGAAGCGAGATGATTATTCTTTTTAATAAAATTTCTTTCAATGATTTTTCTTCGATAAACGAATCACGAAGAATTTACGGATGGTAAAAATATTTGAGAGAGAATCTCAACAAGATAAGTAAAAACAAAAATACGGGAAATTAATAAAACATTGACAAAGTGAAATTAATTAAAAAAATACATATAATACGATAAATCGACAGAATTTAATAAATCCCTTTTAAAATTGAAAATCAATATTATATTTTTACCTGCGGTACAATACCTACGATACAATACAAAATTGTATCTGATATTTAAACAAGGAAGAGAAAAAAACCAATAACAATATGTAGATAACCGTATATCACCGAAAACAATTCCTTTATATAATACACGAGGGATTATTTGAATCTCGTAAATATAAATCTACAAATTGAAATTTCAATTTCTCTTTGATTACGAAAACATTGGTTTGATCTTGCTTGTAAAAGACAAATGTATTCAGAGACGTGCAATTTTATAATCAAACTCTATTTAAAACCATTCTCGAAATGTGTAGAAAATACTACTTACGCGGTACCGTTGTGTCGTCCTATAGAGATCAATCGATAGATCTGCAACTCGACTCTTTGGCCTGTGTCCGGGACAAATCTGTAGGTACACCTCGATGGCCCTTCAAGGGATGGCGACTTTATTTGGCCAAATCCGCGATCCGATTTGCTGAACAACTGTCTGCTGTCCAGCGTTATGTTGCACACTGGAAATAAGTAAATGGTAAGGAACGTTTAAAATGACTCGCGTGGATAGACGAGGATAGACGAATTATTACTATCGTGTGTGCGGAGGTGAATCGAATCATTTTCCACCGTAATGGACTCCGCTGTTTATCGAATCTACGGTTAATCCATCGCGGATTACGCGTAATAACGTGTTGCAAACGAAACTTTATCACGCAATTTAGCGAATGTTACGTACAATTTATCACGCATCGCGTGAAATGCATGGATCGTGTGTGATTGTTATGGCTGTTTAATTTGATTTGCGGTCGGTGACCGGCGGTGAAGGGCGGGTTTTCGACCGAGTCAGTTTTCGCGATGATAGATTTCGGATTTTCGTTCCCCAACCTTACATGGCGGAAAAAACTCATTTCGAACACACCTGTTGCACACTTGGCCGATTGGAAGGCATTCTTTCACACCCGATCGATGTTAATTAAATGTAGTGCATCGGGGATGAGATGGATACTCTTTTTTCTTTTTTTTTACTTTATTTGTAACGCGGAAGTTGATAAAGAATTATATTGAAATATTGTTGCACGTACAAAGTCGATCGTAAAATTGGAATAAATTTCATTCGAAATATATTTTTCATAAGTCAACGAAATATAAATCGACAATAATGGAGATAATAACGCGCGAACACGTAACAATTGAATTGAGATACGAATCGAATTCTTTTCGAATCGGAGGAATCTACCTCTTACTGGATACTTGAAAAATTGTTGCGTAACGATGAGACGTTTTAAGTTCGCACTGGAATTTTTATCATATTAGCTTCATAACCCATTTCCCTCGACGGAGGGAAGAAAATATTCCCATTATCAGCTGTCTATATATAACCATTGTGTCCAAGCCAATAAATGATTCCACCACTCCCTATTTCTGCAAGTTTTCGCCCAGTCATCGTTTCCTTACACCTGAATATCTTCGGTGCCTAAGGAAAGACGGACGAATTCTCTCGCAATCTCGAGAGGTACTTCTATTCTTTTCGTTCCAAGTTTAGCCTTTACATCTTTTGAACCGAGTTTATCGTGGAAACGAAATAATTTTTTTATTTACTATTCGAATTAAACGAAGATATTACGATAACAATGTTATTCTCGATCTAATTTCTATTGCCACTTATTAATTCTCTTGCTTAAAACGATTATTACGATTCGAAATTTCGCAAAAAAAAAAAAAACACGATAAAAGAAGTTTTCGATCGATCAAAGAAACGAGGAACTTTTCGAATCCCGAATTATTCATTCGGATGTATCGCGATATATTTCGTGTGGACGAAAAATCCGGGTCACGTGGAAGCGCAACACAGGGGCGAAAGAAAAATGCCGCGTCGCTCATAACGATTTTTCTTGCTTACATCGTTCCATCGACACCCCCCTCCCCCACCCGAGACAACGGATCTTCGTCTTCTCCATTCGTGGCGACGACGAGTCGCGACAATGACACGCAACACTTTTCTCTCCCGTATAAATCGATTCTTAATTCGTCGTGAATTTAATATACACTGCTCCGTTTCTCCATTTCGAAGAGCGATTTAGAAAGAACTTTACGACAAATCGAATAACATTTCTCCGTGACGATAATAAGAACTTCGTACTCGTATCTCCTCGACGAGATATATATATACGAAAAACACGATATTGATTTGCTAATTCTTCTTTAAGGAATTAAAAACGAACTTTTGAATTAATGGAAACACGCTTAAGCCGATTAAATCGATAAATCAATTAATTGGAAACTCGTTAAGTCGGTCGATGGGGATTTCATAGAGTTTCAGGAGAAGGGAGAGGTTGAAAAATAATCGAGACGCGCCGCTCGAGAAAGGAGGTAAAAGTAAGACGCCATTAATGGTTCTGGTATGATTAAAAGGCGGGCGAGGTGGGAGGTGTACGTTTCAACCGTGTGTAGAAGAAGAACCGTCTCAAAGGAAAGAAAGGTTTGATGGATGGGATGTTGGAGGGGGAGGGGGCCAATAACGTCAGATGTAATTAACGTGGGGAGAGAAAGCGAGTAGATGGATGAACGGGATAGGAAAGAAGAACCCACTGACGTAATTAGTTACCAGAAAGAAATGCCCGGGACACGGTAGTAATTTCAGTAGTAGGATTTATACTTTGCGAAAACGGTTCCGGTGGAGTGGCTTGTTCAACAAACATTCGGGAAAAATTTCCTTTTCCCACCATCCCCCAATTCTATCCCTCCTCAACTGCCAACGTTATTTTACGCTTTCTTTTAGAAATTACCGATGTTAAGAGTTCTAACAACTTTGGCAAACTGATTGTTTGATAAGGAAAGTTTATATTAATGGAAAGTGCAGTGTGCTCTTTCTCGGATATTGAATCAGCTACAAGTTTTTGTGTTAAAAAATTTTCAACAAACTCTGTTTCTTCGATGATATCGGTTAGTGTAATGTGTACATGAATCGTGTTTAGATTAATAAAAAGAAAAAAAAAACACGTTTCTTTTATTTTATAAAAGAATCGGTTCTATATTTTTCTAATATTTTTCTCTCTCGACTTTGTAACACATTGATCATCTGTCGTTCGAAAAAAAACTTCTTTCTACACGGTTTACTTTCCATTTGTTCAATTTGGAAAACTCGAAACAACATCCTCGTGCCTAAGAGCACGACAAAGAATGAGTTAATGGCGTAAATCTTGTTTCTTAACGAGGATGCGGGATCAAAGGGACGGCAATTGCATTTTTCACGTCACGAAATTACATTGCCATCGGCAGAGATGGAAGTAAATACACAAATCAATCGATCGAAAGGAAGGACGGTAATGACGTTACGAGTTGCTAGTTGAATCTCTAACAAGTTTAATATGGAAAGGATTTAACTGGAAGTTACAGTTTTAGAGGCGTGCAAATTTTGCTCAATTGGAAAATTTGTTCGTGGTCGCAGTGACCGTTTCACCCTTCGATTAATTAAAATATGAATACAAAAGGAACTTGATCCTCTTCCATTCTAATCTTTCTTTCAACCAATTTTTTTTTTAAATACGTTATTATTGTATAAAACACATAAGATGAATCGTCGAATCTAACAACTAAGCCATGAAAGAATGTCTTAATAAGACGATTAAAAAATTTTAAATAACTTAACAAATTATTCGACTATTCCTTAAAAAAAAATTAGAAATATCATTGAACAGTTGAAAGTCAAGATATCAAAAAATACGGTAAAATAAAAATCATCACGAACGCAGATAAAAAAAGGGATAAATTCCGAATTATTCGAATCTGAAATTGCTCGAATTCTTAAGAAATTCTTATCCCGAAATATGCGCGCCAAATGAGCCGCCAGTTGTAAATCCGCTTAAAGCGGCGCAAGGAATATTGTGACTAATGATCATGAAGCGTAACGACGCTACTTACTGTTGGCGCAGTATTGCTCCAACCCGCACTGAGCACATCTGTCCGGCGACGCTGCCCCGCAACTGCATCCTCCGGATGGGACGCAGCACGCGCATTCGTTGCTGGACGAATTAAAACTGCACGCGCACCCGTTCGTCGTTTGCGTCCAGAGGTCCACTTGACCTGAAACCAGAGAAAGGATTAGAGAAACGGCCTTTTTGCACGTAGCTACCATTCCGCGTCTTCTCCCAGATGGCACGCAATTAAGAAACGGTAAATGCGCACATTTTAAACGAGCTTTTGTTTCTCATAGAATCTACCGAGAATCATCCATAGTTAAAATTTCCTATCCTAGTTTCTTCTCGTTTATCGAGATACATTTAAAGTTCCTTCAATTCCTCCTCGGATGAGTCGATTCGGTCGAATTTGATTCTTCGCGATATTTCCCATTTGTGAACCTGAGATTGTTAAATTATGAATTAGAGGTGTAAATATTTTATTGGAAACTGAACATTTGATTTAATTTTGCTTAATTGAAAGTTTAGAAGATAAGAAAAATCAGGAATAAATGATAGTAAAGAAATTAGAAATTTAATTTGCTCGTACGTTTTGACCACCACGTTGAACAGGATATTATTATAAATATGAAACTGTACTATTATGTCGTAATTCCATATAACTTTAACTGTTGTCGTGAACAGGAATTAAATCGGTTTCACCGATGAAATCTGCACCTGATATATTTCCAATAATTATATCGATAGATACAGAATTGTTATAAATCGCAAAATGTTTCTCTGTAACCGATTCATTAATCTATTCCATCCAGTCGACCCAATTTCGAACCCATGTAAAATCGTTGCTTCAAACTCGACTTCCGTGCAAATATGCACCTGTGGCGCCCGATGATTACCACGGAATCTATTTATTTCACCGTGGTTCCCGGTGTATTGACCCAACGTACCACGCTTCCCTTGTCTAGAAAATGTAATTCTTCTCTGTGAAATGACGGTATGCGGCCGGTTTCCACGTTCTTCTCTCCGATTGCAATCGCAGTTCAAACGATTTTGCCATAGCGACCTTTGTTTCGTCCATTCGATCCGTTTCCTGTCCAACATTCCGATCCGTGATATTACGTTTTTCCCTCGATCGTCCGTGTCCACCCCGTGACCACTATGCCTCCCCTCCACGACTCTCCTCCCTCGCTCCCATCTCGTCTTCTTTTTTTTTTTTTTTGTTCGAGTCGCTCTTACGCCGTTGTGTCCCGTGACGCCGATAAATACAAAAGCGGCGAAAAACGGACCACCACGAAGAATATAAGCCCCTGGACGAGCGATTGCTCATTGTTTTTGCTCCAACCTCTCCCCTTTTTTCGGTTTTATTGCACTTTCCGCAGGAGACCCTCGACCTCGCGACAATTAATAAACTGTCGTTCCATCCAGAGGTGACTTGGCTCTTGCTTTTACGAAACGCGTGCGTTCTAGTTCGATTTTGACGAAATTTTGAAATTTGGATATTTTTGTTGCAGAAGAGTTCCTTTTTTTTTTATTAGATTGAAAAAAAAATGACGCTTTCGAGAAAACGGGTATTTACAGTTATAAAACAGTTTGTAAACTGTATGATGTTCAAGTATAATGGAAATTTTTGTCGGACAAATCTACAATTAAAATTAATCCATATTTGTACAATTAATTTTCCCATCGTAGCGTGAACGTATCGTCTTTTCTCATTCATTTTCCTGATTCATTTTTCTCGCGTTCGATCGTGATTAGCCAAGAAGAAAATGTCTGAATTTATTACCAATTCCGGTCGAATTTCTGCAAACGCGGGGACACGCGCGATCGATCGTCTTCCTCCCCTATTTCGTGAAGGAGGATCGACGGAAGACGAGCGAAAGAGACACGAGGCCGATCCGAGAACGCGAAGAAGAGGATGGAAGAAATTCTGGTACAAGTAATCCAAGAAAAGACGAAGGAAAGAGAGAGAGGCTCGCTTGAGATGTAGATCGGGGCAAAGATGGGAAAAGAAGGGGTGGAGAGGGTGTGTGGATCGTGGTGGTGGAAAGGAAACGCGGATGAAGAAGACATAAATTCCACGGGGGTGTAAAAAGGGCGTTAAGAGGAGAAGAAGCCTAGCCACCCCCGATATGTCAATATCCCAAGGAAATACGGGGCGGTACTTGGCCGGAGGGGTAGTAAAAATAAAGCAAAGTTTATTGCAGCTACCACCACCACCACCATCACCGCCAACCAGTGGAACCGCCTCTGAAAATGTGTGTTTCAGAGAAGAAGGGGAGAGAGAGAGAAAAAAAAAAGAAGAAAGAAAAGAAAAAAACGCCCGTGTAGACGAACGTTCAGGAGCGTGAATGTGCTACGAAGGTATAGGTGGATACGGATTTCGAGGGATTTCACGGTGAAATCGGAGGAAGGAGAGGGGGTGGGGGTTGGAAGCGGGTCGGACAGCTCCAATTGGATTCTTAATCCATCGATTCAAGCTCGATTACGCGGGTTTGTTTAACGTGGATAGCGAACCTAGCCTGGAAAGATTTTAGTTGGTTTGGCTAGGCCGTGGCTGATGTGATTCTTTTTGAAAAGAAGAAGGGAAGGGAAGGGGCGATACAATAATTTATCGCTCGAAGTGAACAGGTTAGGTTGAAAAGAGGCAAAGGATGAATTTATTATCGGGTGAAAAGATTTTACTTGATTCGAAACAAGTCCAAAATCGTTGGATGAAAAAGGGAATAAAGGAAAAGTGGAATTTAACGTCGATACCAAATCGAGGAATTGGGGTGGAGGGAGATTTTAATTTTGAAGCGTGTCCAAATGATGTGCTTGAAAAGAAAAAAGACGAAGAAAAGAAAAAGGAAGAATGGAAAAAGAAGCAGGTTGGAAGAAAGAGGAGAATTAAGGAAAATCTAGTGCAAACAAAGAGCCAACTATATATATATATATATATGTATATATAGCGTACAGTGCCGGTATACTTTACTCCCTCGAATCTTTCCTCTGTAGAATTTTTGCCCTCGTGAACCTTTCTTCCTTTTCTGCTTAGTCGGAGACCATTAAGGTCCGTTCGTAACCCCGTGGCGCTCTCACGGCAACCTACATCACATAAGACGCATGAATCACGGAACGCACACCGCCATGATTACGGGGTTACACCGCCCGCCACTTTTTACGCGGGCATTCGTGTTTTCTCTCAGGTAAAGAAGATTTGTTACTTTCGCTTGTCCTACCGACCTTCCAAATCCGTGATTTTCAATTTAGGATTCGCATTCGTTCTACTTACGTTTATTCTTTGCCTTATGAATTGCACAAGCTTCTTCTCGTTTTATTCCGACTTTTCTAGATTCCACAGATAGACCGACATCGATCTAAAAATTTAAAAACAAAACCGTTACTCACCTCGTGCAACAGCCGGGTATCTCGAGATACCCATTTTCTCACAATCCATCTTCCTCGAAACCGCTGTAATTCAGATCCTATAAATCCTCTCGCCTCTCTTATCTCACCAGATCTCTAACCAGAGTCCTCCTTTTCAGCGTGTAAAATCCAAAAACACCTCTCGGGACGAATTAGCATCTCCTCTTCGGGAGGATAGAGAGCGACTGCGTTCGCAAAAAGATCCACTTATCTACGAGGGCGATATTAAATTCCAATGAAATCCTACCCCCGGTCAATTTCAGTTGGCCATCTTCAAGCGGATCCGATGATATCCAACGTGACGGTTGTCGCGTAATGGCGGCGGATACAGTCGACGACCGGCTGTGGTCGCCTCTTCGCAAGTGTCTAATAATTTTCGTTTAAACCCGGCCCGGCTCTTACGCGCAGCTGCTCTCCTGCTCGACGAGAGCCGAGCGCATTAGTCCGCTAATAGACGAAATGGCGATCGTAGTTAAGAGATAAATGTGGCGGAGAAAGCCAGAGAGAGAGAGAGAGAGAGAGAGAATGGCGCTTAGAGAGGCCGTTCGTTATCGCCGATATTAGAGAACGAGGACGACGAGATTCGTTCGAATCGTTGTTCCCATTTTCACGTACGTCCGACCGATAGCATTGTCTCGTTGATGAAGAACGATTGCACGGACGTAACGAGCGGTCGAACGGAAATTTAAAACGCGATAAATTTCGCCGGTTGAACAATCAGGGATTGATACCCTCGCGGCCGAGAAAAATCGCGAGAAAAAATTTTCGTCCGCCGATATTTTATACAGGGATGGGGGACGGAGGGGGACGGGCAGGGTTTTGTTCCGTTCTCGCCCCGTGTTTCGACTTAAATCGTCGAATTTCTGGACGGAACTGGAGGATCGTGGTTCCACGAAATTTGGGCGAAATACAGAGAGTTCGACGAACGGGAGAAATTTATTGGGCCGGCCGTTGATACACGCGCGGCGCTCTGCATTTTTCACGTTCTCCGGTTTCGGCCTGGCGTCCAACATTTTTTTCTACTTCGACCCATCCCACCCCCGCACTCCTCCACTCCTCCCGGCTACCGTTATATTGGTTCGTCGTTATTAATTTATCAACTTCGATGCCCGAGAAACATTGGTCGCGCTGTTTACTCGTTTCTCCGATATTGATGATGATTCGATTTGTCACGATCCCATTTCCCTGTTTGCCCGTCCACTCTCTCTCTCTCTCTCTCTCTCTCTCTCTCCTCCATACACGCTCGTATAGCTCGCATACATCGGCATGCCCCGGATTTATTTGGCTTGGTGCTTCGATTTCCAAAAATTTGGCCAATCGACGCACGCATCGATCATCCGCCACAACGATCACTCGTAACCGTTCCATTTCGTTCCAAGATCGCCCCTCGTTCCCTACGAACGAAACTGTTAAGTAAACTTCAAGAAGATCCAAGAAGATGAAAAGTACGAGAAATCAGAAATTACCCCATCCAAGATTTCCCCATCCAGCTCGAAAAGAATCCGAAATTATCCTCGTCGCCGATGGATACCCCGTTCCCCCTTCGTCTGACCGACACGAAATTCTCATTTCGATGCCCCCTCGAATCTATCACGACCACCCTCAGCCGTCCACGTTTCCTCTTCCAATCTTCCCCACAGTCATCCTATTTGCGCTCATCCTTCTGGCGAGGGAGAGAAGGCGTGCCGTCGATTAGCCCGCGTCTATTTCGCTTTTATGACGATTTCCCGGTCACTGTGCTACTTGCAATTCCACCCGCAT